GGGAAGTTAATAAAAGTATTAGCCAGAGGGCCAATGAGGGGTTGTTGAGGTGGTTTGGTCTTTTAGAGAGAATAGATCAAAGTAGAATGACATGGAGAGCGTATAAATCTGAAGGGAAAGGAAAGTGGGGTAGGGGTCGTCCTCGAAAAGGTTGGAGGGAGGGGTTAAAGGAGGTTTGTGGGCGAGGGGCATGGACTTCCAGTATGCTTGCGTGAGTATGTTAGATAGGCGTGAATGGAGACGAATGGTTTTTGGGACCTGACAAGCTGTTTGAGTGTGAGCAGGGTAATATTTAGTGCAGGGATTCAGGGAAACCGGTTATTTTTATATAACCGGACTTGAGTACTGGAAATGGGAAGTACAATGCCTGCACTTTAAAGAAGGAGTTAGGGAAATTGGCAGTTTGGAGGGATATGTTATATATCTCTTTATATATGCTTCTGAAGTGTTGTATCTGGGTGCCTTTGCAAAGACAGTGATTATGTATGAGTGAGGTGAAAGTGTTGAATGATGATGAAAGTATTTTCTTTTTGGGTCATCCTGCCTCGGTGGGAGACGGCCGACTTGTTGAAAAAAAAAAAAAATACTGAAAGCAATGCTTAAATCATTTTTCAAAGATTCTTTGAAATAACCACTTTTACCATTGCAAGGTTTTATGATTTCTTTTTTTTTTATCCTTGCACCCCAGCCTAGGGGTAGGCTTTTCTACTGATTGCAAATTCAACCAGATTGTTGCTGTTGGCAGCAACAGTCTAGGTTACTTGGGCAATAAAGTAACCCTTTCATACTTCTTAAGTACATTTTCTATTGTTCTCTTTCAGTAATTGTTTTCTTTGTAGGCCCTCTCAGTTCAACATATTTTAAATAAACCTTACATGCTTCTGTATTCAGCTTTTCCATGCACCACTGTGAGTTAAGGGTTCCTGGACTCTGGTAGTTCTTTGAATACTTTGTTCCGGGTATTTCTCCAAAGAGGCAAGTTAAATTTATGAAACTTACCTTCACACTGGTTTTCTTAGATTCTTTACCAATGGATTTATGATTGTACTTCCAAAAGGTAGTGGTCAGAGTAAATTATACTTGAGTATGTTATCAGCAGTGTGCCAAAGTATCAATATCTGTGGGTATATGTTTCTTTTGATAGTACCAGTATTGGTTTAAAATTGATTATCAGAAGCCAAAAAATTTTTTTGTATCATCCCAGCCCAAAATGTTATGTCTCTGATCAGTTCCTTTTTGTTTATGAAGATCAAGTTTCCTGTAGTAAAATTTCTGAGTCACTGCCCCCACGACCCAGTTCAAGACCAAGCTTTCCGGTTGATGACCTGATTGACCAGGCTTTTCTGTTAAGTGATGGTTCAAATCAACTCTTCACAGGCCCATAATAACTCTCTGGTACATGTCTGCTTGACAAACATGCTTCCAGGCACTATTTATGACAATTATGCTATCTCCTACCTACTTTAAATATTTAGAAGCTCACTGTCCCCAAGAAGGAAAATATTTGGTACTCACCTATACATGGTTGCAGGGGTTGAGTCTTAGCTCTTGGTCATGCCTCTCAACTTGCTGCTCGCCTGATTCACTCTCTTCTAGCTTCACGAGCCCTATCATACTTATTCTTAAAACTACATATGGAGCCTGTCTCTACTACATCTTCCTCAAAGTAATTCCTCTTCCCGACTACCCTCAGACTGAAGAAATACTTCCTGACTCATCTGTCTCTCATCTTTGACTCCTCTGCATCTTAAGCTTCCAGTTTTGCCCCAAGTACCTAATTCCTGCCTTTCAAACAACCTGTCCCTATCTGTCTTATCAGTTCCTCAGAGTATTTTGTATGTTATGTCTCCCCTGGTCCTTCTGTCCTCCATAGTCGTTAAGATTCAATTCCTTTAGTCTTTTCTCGAAGCCCATACTTTCAGCACTGGAACTAGTCTAGCTGCATACATCTACACTTTCTCCAGAATCTTAACTGGACATGCTACGTACTCCAAGATGTGCCTGATGTATGTTGTATAAATCACCCGGAATAACTCTTTATTGAGGTTCCTGAAAGCCAGTCTCAGATTTGCCAGGCAAGCACTGGCTACAGAGATTATTCAGTTTATGTTGCACTTTCAATGCAGCTACTGTATTTTTTTTTTAACATACTGGCCACTTTCCACCAAGGCAGGGTGACTCGAAAAACAAAAAAACATTTTCATAAAGTTTTTTCTTTTTAAATTTAGCAATTTACACAAGAAAAGGGGTTACTAGTCCCTTGCTCCCGGCATTTTAGTCACCTCTTACAACATGTACCTGACCAACCGGGCTGTGGTTCATACGTCAGTTTGCGTGTGGCCAGCAGTAACAGCCTGGTTAATCAGACCCTGATCCACCATGAGGCCTGGTCTCAGACTGGGCCATGGGGGCACTGACCCCCGAAACCCTCTCCAGGTAAACTCCAGGTAATGTATAGCTTATGGAAGGATTCTTCTTCATTTTCCCATGGAGTATCTTCCTTATCTGTTCTGTGAATTCCTCAGCTATTGCTGAAAGTGTTTTATATTGGTTATTACCAGATTCTTGTTCTTCACTTGAATATATAGTAGTATTTCCACTGTCATTTAACGATTTCAACAGTTCTGTACAATAAAATGACTTGCTTAGTCTTCCTATTGCTTATTTACTCTCTCACATCTATATACTTTTGCAGTTTTGTAACTGTAACTCACTATCCAAAACATCACTTGCGTGTGTTTCTATGAATGCTGAAATCATTTGCATTTGTGAGAAGTCCACTGGTACATTTCTTCGTTATTCTTAAATATTTTAAATCTTGAATGTTAGTAAAAATGAAGCAGAATTTACCATCTGGACTGTTTATATTTTGTTAATATCTCTGGTACTGTACCATCTTGTAATATGGCTCTTGGTGAACATATTCCCATCCTCTCCAGTAATGGCTGTGCTACGGCCTGTTGTAGGTTTGACCCTCGTGTGAAAAACTGGTTTGCTGTGTACCAGTGCCATGTATCTCTGTGCATCCTGTTGTCCTTTGTTGAATATCCTTCATATTTGCCTCTAGATCATTTTTCTTTCTTATTAAAAATTATCTTTGTTTACTATGTATTCAGTTTTTTTTATGAATAATTTTGTATCGTCTTCTTTTCATGTGGAATTTTGAGCAACTTAAGATGCAAAACTTTCTGGTCTGCAGTGAGGACTTGCACATCTCTGGGTGAAAATTTCTGTAATCTTTTTCAAAAACAGCACTTTCTGGAGTGTGAGTATTTACATCTAATTCCATATTTATGGATTTCTCTGGCAGAGTACTTACATATTGGACAGTTTTTGTCTTTTTTCAATGGAAACTGCAGTATTTTACAGCGGGGTGTTTTCTGAGTACCTGTGTCCTTATTGCTCCTAATACTGAATATTTTTGTGCATAGATATTTCAAGCCACTGTTTCTGTTCCACCTGTGCTGATCTGCGTTTTTCTAACCTTGCACTAGTTGCATGATCAGTCTTTACTTATTTTTCTCACTTTTCATCACTGTCTAGTAACTTCCCAAAAGACTTTTTTAATCACTATCATCATTCAATATGTATGTTATACCTGTTCAAAACTCACTCACTCTCTCTTCCCTATACTGTTAGCAATGGTATTTATACCGGAACAAGCAACATGAAACCTATCTTTGCATACTGCCCACATTGTATGCCTCATGTGGTATATTTGAATTCTAACTCAAATTTGAACTGATAAACTTGGGGTGTTATATCAGCTAGTAAGCTGACCTTTTATAATGTTTTTTTGTTTTGTAGGAAATCCATCTAACACCATTTGATATAATAATTCCTGATGTACTGGTATCTAACTCCACTGACCTTGGCAACTGGCCAATGGCAAAGAGAGAAGGTTTTCCATATTTATTTCTGTGTTATTCTCCAAGTTAAATTGTGAAACTTATTATTTAGTATATATAATGTAGAGAGACTTAGCATGGAGATTTCTTGCAACTGGTCAGAAATAATGATGGCAACCTCAAGCAGTGGGCAGGCCTGTAGGTTAACGTGATTGCTCCTGGTACACTTGTATTACAACCGTATCTGAATTTTTCCCTTAATCCATATTTCCACAAAGAATTTTTTTTCACAAGTACAATACAATAACAACTTTTACTTTTATACTTACAACAGTTTTGTGATGTCTATTCAGCTATACGACAGGGCTGAAGACTTGCACCAAATTCTTGTCAATAATTTCCTTACCATACTTTACTCAAAATTAGCTCTTGTGTTCAATTTTGCATAATGCATAGCATTTTGTGCACTACTGGCCACCTCACTATTAAAATGTTGCACTATCATAACATTAACGGCCACTACATTTTGGCCAAGGCATGAGGGATTGTAAAGGGTATCATCTCCGCTTGCCTTCACCTCACAACCTACTGTATTTTCCTCTTATATTCAAGTTGAAAGGTATCATTCCTGATGGGTACTATTTTACCCATCTGACACTCAACATTTCTACATTTCTGAACATAACTATAAAAGTAAGCTATCAAGCAAATTTGTTAATGCTTCAATGCATAACTGACCATTTGAAAATAATCTGCTGAACATACACTGTCTACTTAGAATATACACTTAGTTAATACACAAGATGCCATAAAACTTTGCTACATATTTGATTATGACATGAAAATGATCTTAGTAGCACCAACAAGCTGATGTAAGATGACACTCCCAGCCACCCTCAAGGTATCATATGGGAATTCATATTCACAAAATCTCAACAGTGGCAGTTAACTCATATGACACAACCACGATGGTAGCATTAACATTGATTATATGGCTAATAAAGAAAAGTATATAACAAAGTAAATCAATATACAAAAACCAAACATATTTACACTGCAAAAGAAACATGTGGGCTTGCTCATATTTTTACAGAAACACAAATGAAATACAGTACAGAAGAGCATTAAGCTCAGATATATAAGTTGTCTGACCTGCTTGTTTTTATAATATTCCTTTTTGTTCTCACGAGCTCTCTGAATTAACATCTTCTTCTGTTCAGTATCCTTCAGATTCTTCCATATGCGTCTAATCTGTCGTTCTCGATCTGCCACAGCTGGTGTTAAAAAAAGTAGTATGTCTCAGACTAATACATTCAGACTAAATTGTTAAAAAAAAAAAAAAAAAAAAAATACAAATGATTATCAGAAATCCTAACTTGCACGAAAATATTTTATGCAAAGGCACATCTAAACCTAACTACAAAAATTACCTTAATATTCTTTCAAACAGGTGATACACAGGAAGATTCCAACTTATAAATGGCCTAAATTACACACTTGCTATGCTTACAAATGGTACTCTTGGCAAACAATATGAATATGTGCAAAATTCATGGATTTTTTCTTTTCTACAGCACCACTTTTCTCTGTTCAGAGTATTAGAAACCCGAATAAAACTGTACAGCTTTTTCTATGCTGTGCCTGTAGGGAAGTGATGTGACAGGTGTTTCAAATGTATGAAAGCTGCTGTGTTTTATGTGAACAATAAGGCTCAGTTTAGCATATGAAGGTGGGTAAAGAAATAATTCCCAGTAAAAGTGGGCCTTAAAAAGGTACAGTAAAACCATGATAAAAAAGAACCTCCTTGTTATGGATTTCAGATACAAAATAACTGGCCAAGCAAAGGTTCAATGCAATGGATGAAATCTGCTGAACTGGCCATTTGTCTATTACTGATAGTTTGTGTGTGTGTGTGTGTGTGGTGTGTGTGTGTGTGTGTGTGTGTGTGTGTGTGTGTGTGTGTGTGTGTGTGTGTGTGGTGTGTGTGTGTGTGTGTGTGTGTGTGTGTGTGTGTGTGTGTGTGTGTGGTGTGTGTGTGTGTGTGTGTGTGTGTGTGTGTGTGTGTGTGTGTTGTGTGTGTGTGTGTGTGTGTGTGTGTGTGTGTGTGTGTGTTGTGTGTGTGTTGTGTGTGTGTGTGTGTGTGTGTGTGTGTGTGTGTGTGTGTGTGTGTGTGTGTGTGTGTGTGGTGTGTGTGTGTGTGTGTGTGTGTGTGTGGTGTGTGTGGTGTGTGTGTGTGTGTTGTGTGTGTGTGTGTGTGTGTGTGTTGTGTGTGTGTGTGTTGTGTGTTGTTGTGTCTGGTACATTCACCAAATAACAGACCAAGCCTGCTACACTGTGCATTGTGCATTTCAATGCAATGAATTTTCATTTAAATGGACACCCCCTTTTCCCCATTAATCTGTAATACTGAGGTTTCACTGTATATACAATGTTATAGTGGTTGATCAATAGGTTTATAAATGGAGTTATAAAAAAAAAAACGAATATTAGCATTGGAAGAACGAGTGCTTGAAAGAAGTAGAAGAGGTTTGTGGAGAAGTTTAGGATTCACAAACAGGAGCAAAAAGTGAACACAAAAAAATAATTACATAATAATAATAGCAATTAGTCCAGGAAAAGAAAGAATGAACATCAGATTGGAGGGAAGGAGTATGGACTAGGTAAATGTATTTAGGTATCTGGGAGTGCATGTTGGCAAATGAGTCTAAAAACGACATGAATCAGAATTGATTAGGGAAAGTAGGTGGCTGTAATGTTGTGGAGTCTGAGGGTTGAGACCCCTGCTCGCAAACTTGCTCCCATGGTCAAAGAATTTATATACATATAAAAAAAAAAAATCCTATGAAATTATAGAGAATATTCCCGAAGGTAATGAAACCAAAAGCATGAAATTTAACAGAAAACTTACGGAATTACGCTCTCGCAAAGTTAACAGTCTCAATTATATTTACTCATCAGCGATTTCACCCACATTGAGCCCAATCTGGGCTGATTCCACTATTCCAGTTGTCCAAACTCAGCTCTTTAGCTAGAACTCCTTTTATTCTATCGACTGAGTACAAGAAACTGCCCATTAACCTATTTCATTTACCCAATACAATGATCAGAAATTACTAATTTGGCCAATTTCACACAAAATTCAAGGAAGGCCAATTTCAAAATAAGGTCCAGAAAAAATAATATAGACATTCCTGGCACTCAAAAAACATTTTCTCTATTCATTAGTCACATCCCCAAGCCCCTCTTAAATTATGTTTGCTTTTCATTTTGAATTTTTATTCACACAAAAAACAGAAGATTTACTGTTATTCTGACTACTACATAATGGTAATAATTGTATAAATAATGTCAGTGCATTTGTGAGTGTATATCAGACCAGCCAGTTGATGTGTATTGGACACATGACACGTTTTGTTTACTCTTGAATATCGGCAAAAATCAAACATTTCCGCTACTTTGAGCTCAATTTCAAGCTGCTTTTTAGCCTGTAAACCATTCAAAATTATCTTTATTTCAAAAATATATCTTCCACTCTATCAAATGAGACCAAGAAACCAAGTCGCTGTTTTACACCAAAAACACAGTCACAGTTTTTCTTCTCATTATGCACTGTGTGCTGCAGGATTTTTTTTTATACTGCACACAATGACCACGCATACCTATTCTCTCAAATGTAAGCCTACCAGCTTTCTCCCGCACGACTGGAAACCGCTAGAATTTTGGCATAGTTTTACGGGATCAACCCTGGCTTCAAATCCATATTACGGGACCGATCCCGAAAGGGTTAACCCGTAAATGGTCCAAACGTATATATACGTTTTTACCGCTAGTGCCCCAAACGTACATATACGTTTTATGTGTCCTACATTTAACATTGCCATTATAAGTCTGAGTCACCTAGACATGTGAGAATGGGTGTGAGCACTCACTGTGCACCATATTAAAATAATTGGGGATGCCTGGGTACCATATGCTATTTTTTCCTATTAAAAAACAACATTTTCCTATTAAAAAACAACAATGTTTTTTTTTCTCAAAAAAGTTGGGGCAGTACGGTAGTGAACGTACATATACGTTTAGACCGTTTACAGGTTAATGAATACAAAAGTGGTAAAGTGTCAAGGTTGTAGTGGTACTAATATTTTTCATGGGGTCTGAGACATGGTCTTTGAATGTTGCAGTATGGAGGTAGTCAATATGTCACGTTTGAGGTCGATGTGTAGTAAGATATTCAAGAGAATAAGAAGTGTTAAGAAAGATATAATTCAAGTGTTATGGTGTTATGAAAAGTATAATTTGGATGTTATGAAAGAAATAATCCCAAATGACCTTTGATCATTTATAAAGGATGAAGCAAGTTAGTGTGGCCAGAATGGTTTATAAATCTGGGTTGGATTAAAAGATTGGCGATACATTCTATGAAGACTTAGGTTTTCAGAGGCAGGGATCTGAGCATCCAAGAAATGTATGTGGGTATTTAACATGAGACTTGGTGGAAACAATGAATTTTGAGGCTCTGATGTGTTGTTGGAGTGTAAGCAAGGTTTTACATATATACATACATGAAGAAATCTAGAAATCAGTTAGCTGAATTGGAATTCTGAAGGTGGAAAATAGTGCTACACTTTGAAGGATGGGTTTTGCTGTTACAGTTCAATGGATCACTTGATCTCTGACACCTGTGTACTTTTGGAAAGACAGTCAGATAATGAATGATGGTTAATGAGTTTTTCTTAAGGTTACCATGTCACAATGGGAAACAAATGTATAAATAAAAACTATTTTGAATATACACTATTACTAATTTCATAGCAACATTTGGATAATTCTTTTACTATTTTATTCCATACAGACTCATTAGTTAGAAAGCCCAGGATAAAATATTATACAATTACAATCTGAATTTATAAAGGTATAAATATCTCATGCTAGTGTCAAAATAATTTGCACAATGCATATTACTGATATGACTAAGTAACTGAAAAAAAATAAAAAACCATGAACATAGCTGTATCACTCCAGCTAAAAATAAATTAGAGCATACACACAAGCCTGTAGGCATTCACAGTTACCCAAATAGACTTCTTCATTCACTATCTCAACACTCTTCTTTCCTGTGTCCTATCACCTCTTTCAGCCCCTTTGCTTTTTTACTTTGTATCCTCCTCCTCCTCCCTCCCTCCCTCACTTGCGCTCTCTCTCTCTCCCTCTCTCTCTCCCTCTCTCTCTCTCCCTCCCTCTCTCTCTCTCCCTCCCTCTCTCTCTCTCTCTCCCTCCCTCTCTCTCTCTCCCTCTCTCTCTCTCCCTCCCTCTCTCTCTCTCCCTCCCTCTCTCTCTCTCCCTCCCTCTCTCTCTCTCCCTCCCTCTCTCTCTCTCCTCCCTTCTCTCTCTCTCTCCCTCTCTCCCTCCCTCTCTCTCTCACCTCCCTCTCTCTCCCTCCCTCCCCCCTCTCCTCTCCCTCCCACTCCCACTCTCCCTCCCTCCCTCTCCCTCCATCCCTCTCCCTCTCCATCCCTCTCTCCCTCTCCATCCCTCTCTCTCTCTCCCTCCCACTCTCTCTCCCTCCCTCTCTCTCTCTCTCCCTCTCCCTCCCTCCCTCTCCCTCTCTCCCTCCCTCCCTCTCTCTCCCTCCCTCCCTCTCCCTCCCACTCTCTCCCTCCCACTCTCTCCCTCCCACTCTCTCCCTCCCACTCTCTCCTCCACTCCCTCCCTCCCACTCTCTCCCTCCCACTCCCTCCCTAACTCCTTTATCCCCCTTTCTCTCCATCTCTCTCTCTCTCTCTTTTTTTTTGCTCAGGGTTTGACAAGATTAGGTTAAGGATCCCTAGTTTTATTGACAAGCTACTTACAGGTTAAGGATTCCTAACTTCATTGGCAAACCAAACCATACCCCGGCCGGGATTGAACCCGCGGTCAGAGAGTCTCAAAACTCCAGCCCGTCGCGTTAGCCACTAGACCAGCTAGCCACAATAAGATTCGTCCAACTAGGTATATTTCTACACCATAGGAAGGTTAGCACAGGCACCACTGTGACCACAAATGCAAGTTTTTACAGACGAATCTCCAGCTAGTGTGGCCGTGACGAACTCTAGTTCAAGTCTCTTCACTGCCGTCAACATGACTCACGAAATCGTAATGACACGATTGCAAACAAACCATACCCTGGCCGGGATTGAACCCCAGCCCGTGGCTAACGCGACGGGCTGGAGTTTTGAGACTCTTTGACCGCGGGTTCAATCCCGGCCGGGGTATGGTTTGTTTGCAATTGTGTCAT